TCTGTATTTTCAGGAGGGGGAATGGGGGGTTCTGTCTGTATTTGAGAGGGGGGGGGTAATTAACTAAAAACAATTTAATTACAAGCCGTTTAAAGGTGATAGAGTTTAATCGGTTGGATATTCATTTAGATTAGTCTCGTGATGTTTCATTAAGGATTATTAATCAAATATATTCTTCAAGGTATTCTCTTCATGCACTTCCTTATGTGCTTTAAGTCAAGTGCTACACTAAGAGGTTCAAATGTAGCAGGGTTTTTTTTCAGTTAAAAACACGCTCATAACGTCAAAGTAACAATATTGATTTTCTTTTAGTACAACTAGTTTAAATTCTTCCTTGTCTATCAAATAATTTAGGTACATTATTTATCAAATTTTTTCTTTTTTCCTGATCATGTATTTCCCAGCTTAATGTCCATGATTTTATCACCCTGTATTTCCTATCGTCCATGATTTTCCTATCCTCTATTTCCTATCGTCCATGATTTTCCTAACCTGTATTTCCTATCTTAATGTTCATGATTTTCCTATCCTGTATTCCTGTATTTCTTAGCTTAATTAGGTTTATGTTTTTGACTTTCCTTTCCTGTATTTCCTAGCTAAATATACATGATTTTCCTGTCCTGTATAACCTAGCTTATATTCCATGATTTTCCTGACCCTGTATTTCCTAGCTTAATTTCCATGATTTTGCTATCCTGTATTTCTTTTCAAGACTTTCCTTTCCTGTATTTCCTAGCTTAATATCTATTATTTTCCTATCCTGTATTTCCTAGCTTAATATCCATAACTTTCCTATCCTGTATTTCCTAGCTTAATTTCCATGATTTTGCTATCCTGTATTTCTTTTCAAGACTTTCCTTTCCTGTATTTCCTAGCTTAATATCCATAACTTTCCTATCCTGTATTTCCTAGCTTAATGTCCATCCTAAGCTAACCTTGCCCGGTTATAATTGGTCTGCCATCATTAAGCAATATAATTAATAACTCGGAGAGAAATCCAAACTTGAATCTTGAATCTACAGATTCTAAAAAATATTATTTCAAGGCCTAATTCCGTTAAATGCTTGCAATTTGTTATTTCGATCTTTCACAATTTTGTTGGATTTTAACATTATTAGTCAAAATATACTGTTTCGTAACTCTTTTGATCATTACTTTTCATTTTTGGATTTTCTTGGCCTATTCTCCTATTCTGGCCATATATCCTCCTATTATCCTATTCTGGCCATATATCCTCCTATTCTCCTATTCTGGCCATATATCCTCCTATTATCCTATTCTGGCCATATATCCTCCTGGTTATTGATTTGAAAATACGAAGTGAGAGATGTTTTGTTTCCTAAGCATCAACGTTTCTCCCGGAGATTTTGAACCCTGGATCCATCAAGTTTACTGTTCTGGGTCATTCCAAGCTTTTATAGCCAAAACATGGCTTTGTTTTTCTTTTTATTAGTTTATGCTGTTCAGCTCTGAATAAGGGGGTAGAGGGGAGGGGGGCGGGCTGTAATAAGAAAGGGAGGGGTTTTTAGGGTGTTTGGCCCTTAGTCTTACAACGGTTTACACCCTCATATTATAAAACTTAATGCTTTACATATTTTCTCCAACCTGTGACGTGGAATTTGTTTCATATCATAACCCTCCCTTCAAACTGAACAATGCCTTCTTTGAAAATACTCGAATCCATTATTCAAATTTCTTCTTCAAAAATTTCAAAATTTAACAAGCGACTTATGAAACCCAACTCCTCCCTACCCCCTTATGTGAGCTATACAGTAGATAGCACTATAGTATACAATATATGCAACATGAAAAATACGCAAAATTTCTCGGACCAACCGCGTAATCGTGCAGAATTTTGCACAGGGCGGGAATATAATGAAAACATCAAGACCTAGCGTGTAGTGTTTCATGTCTAGTGATATATGCTTATATGCCTAACTGCCCGCAAACACCGTGGGTATATTATTCAAGCAACTCACCCTCCACCTTTTTTGCCAGGGCCAGGGTTCGCAAAATGGATAAATGAATTCAACTCGAAACGAGGGCTAAGTTTAATTACGTATTTGAAAAGGCGCGCAGACTTAACGATAGATATTTCGAGCGCTAAAAGATTGGATTGTGCGCGGTAGCTGTTTAAGCGCGTTTACGCACGCAAATATTTACAATATCCATTTAACAGTGTGCGTTTTTTTTCAGGGGTTAATATTATGAATTCCCCCACCCCCCGCCCCACCTCCCTGAGACTTTGTGGAAACTCAAAATTTTGACATCCAGATGGCAAGTTTTAGTTTAACCTAACAAAAAAAATAATTAGTTTTCCATATCTCTAAAAATAAAAATTTAAAAAAAATTTATATCTTATTTTGTGGCAGATGACAAGACATAAAATTATTTATACCCCTGCTTTTTTGTCCGTGGTTCGGAGGTCTGTTGGTTCGATTTTTTTTATAAAATATAAAAATATATTTACGCAATGTCGGACTTTTCCAACGCTAGATAAATAGAAACCCTTGAATGATATTTAAATTTGTGTTTACATTTAAATTTTTTTGTTTACTAGAAAAAAGTAAGATAGAAAGATAGAAAGATAGAAAGATAGAAAAAATTGTTTTTTTTTTATTATACCATTTGTGTGAGCTAGCAATGTGATGCAAAAATGTTAATTCTGGTTTGGAAAAATGTTCAACAAAATTGCAGTCAATTTGGTTAAACTTTGCATACTAGAGGAGCGATAAATTGTTTATATGAAAGGGTATTTACTTCATGCTCATTTAAGTTATTAAAATAATAATAATAAAAATAAGGAAATAATTTCCAATATATTACAACCTTGATCAGACCAGATGGTGTTACGCAATCTTTCAGTTAAACTGTAACAAGCTTTAACAGTTACTGAATGCACAGAAAATAATTTTCCTGTATTTCCTAGCTTAATATCCATAACTTTCCTATCCTGTATTTCCTAGCTTAATATCCATAACTTTCCTATCCTGTATTTCCTAGCTTAATGTCCATCCTAAGCTAACCTTGCCATAAAAGGATAAAAGGATAAAAGGATAAAAGGATAAAAGGATAAAGGGGCTCAATAGAGCTAAATTAAAAATCTTGTATGTCAATATAATTCAAGAACTTGGTTGTCCTAAAAAAAGTGAGAGAATTTTCTGAAACCATTGGTTTAAAATTTTTGTATTAAATATACTAATTAAGCTATAAAAAAATTGTCAATCATCAATGCAAAAAAAGTACACTTCCCTATCCTCTTAACTTAGAGTCTAGATAATATAATAAGTTTGCAAAACTTTGTCACACTTTGATTCAGTTTTTGTCCCAAACCCTAGCGTTGAGATCACCTTGGCGTTGAGATCTCCTTGTACCATTCTTACCATACGCAGATCAGACCTCATTTGTCAACCTCTTGTCAACACTAGGCTAATTAAAATCAACTCAATGTTGACATTTTGTTACGGTTGATTATGACAGGAAGTGAGGCAGAGGTTAAGGCTAGGATATCAACTATCATTCAGGGCTGTCAATTTTCCTCAAAAGTGTCCTGCTCTAAAAATATTGTTTTCCTTTTGCTGCCAAATTTTGTGTCTAAAAAACTTATTTTTGTACTATGGAAGGGGGGGGGGGTATAAATAGTATAAATAGGAAATATGGTTGGAGTGCATCAGGAAGGAACTAAATTTGTCTTGAAATGAAAAAGAAAAAACTGCAACCGGGTGAAAAAGGGTATGATGATATTCCCAACCCTTGTCAAAAAAAACTCATAAATTTGTTTTAGTTTGTGTTTTACTTTAAATTTTTTAAGAAGTCATTTTTTCGTTACGATTTCGTGCGTGTTATCTGTTAATAAATTCTTATATCTTCCATTTAATTAGCTCCTTTCGTGTGTTATTTTTTTAGGTGTCTTTTGTCTGTTCGATCTACGGTGTACCCCTTTAAGGCCCTATATAGACCTAGTTAGGGATTGATTGATGCCTTTTCTTTAGGCCTTTTTGGACCATATTCAGGGGACTATATAGTGTCATAAAAATAATATTCAAAATTGAAAAACCAAAACAATGGATTTTTAATCTTTTAAATATGTAATATAATATTTTGTGAAAAATATTTGATTTGTTCTAAAATGATAGTAATGAAACCCCACAGCAAAGATTGATATGACCAAATCATCTCCCCCCATTCCCTATATGAAAGGGTATTTACTTCATGCTCATTTAAGTTATTAAAATAATAATAATAAAAATAAGGAAATAATTTCCAATATATTACAACCTTGATCAGAACAAAGAAAGCATTTTTCTTCTTTGTTTAAGGGCGGATCCAGATTGATACAGGAAACTGTCCTCAACATAATTTCTTTTAGTAGAGGGGGGGGGGGTCATGGTGGTTAGAAAGGTTGAGCCAGTGTGGGAACCGTATATTGAAAATTGATACAAAATAAATAAAAAAGTTAAAATAATATTTATTCGTGGTCCTAACCAAAGGAACATCTGGTTGTCTGTGGACGTGTCAATTTGTCTGTGAGTGTATCTGTTTGATAGCCATTGTTACATTAGTCTATTTGTCTATTTATCTTTCTAAGAGCAAGTGTAGGTCAGTTCCTATGTACTGTGTTAAATTCTACTGTTATTTGGGTGGGGTGGAAGGGTCTATTCAATTCCTTTATAGCCTCATGTCAGTCTTTTTTGTTTGACACTCTGCTGTCCAATATTTCCAACTGTAGTCTAGAGCCTGTGTCTTAAATTGTAAAAATAAACATCGCTATGTAACTCCGTATTTGGTTGCTCACAGGGTTTATGGACCTTTTAGAAGAGGATTTATTTGGAAATATAAATCTGGACGGTTTATTGGTGTGGAGGGGGTGGGGGACGGGGGATGTAAAATATAGTTATAAGACATTGGGTGTGATGTGATGCCATACGTAAATTTCAAAATTAATTTTTTTAAATGTCAATTTTTATTTCAGTGTCAACTACGCCCCTGGCGAGGGTATCTACGACCTAATCATCAAAGGAACCTCGTATGAACGGGATAACGGAAACTTTGAGTGCCGTAAAGTTGAATCTGGGAGCGGAAAACGTCTCCATACCAGCACTGTGGAGCTAGTAGTTCTCCTCCCCCCCGGAGCTCCAAACCTGAGTCCTGCCAACCCTATCCTGACAGAATCCCGCCCATTCAACATCTCCTGCGCCTCAACCGGAGGTTCTCCGCCCCCTGTTATAACCTGGTTCAAGAATAACGAACCCGGAGACTTCAACGTGGTTTACGAGGCCTCGCGCACCCGTGACCAGCCTAGTATTAGTACCCTGATAGTGTCTCCGAGTAAGGAAGATGATGGGAGTGAGTTCAAGTGCTCTGTATGGAACAGAGCTATTGCTAAAGAACAAACTATGGAAGAAAAAACAACAATATTTGTAAATTGTAAGTTTTTTTAAAATCCATAATTTTTTTTCATTTGTTATCGATCTTTGTTTGTTGTCTTAATTTCCTAGAACATTTTTTATTTGACCCATTTGTTGTTTTTGTTTTTGAATATATATATATATATATGTATACATACATATATAATATATGTTCAAAATTCTCATATTTTATTTTTGTCAAGATTTCCCGCGTATAACTGTTGGTCCTGAAAACCCGGTCCGCGTTGAACGAGATGAGACCGCTGAGCTCCACTGCGATGTTGACTCTAAACCCTCTGTGACCGAGGTCAAGTGGATGAGAAATGACCGGTTTATCAACGTGAACTTCAAGCATCTAATCCCGCGGGCAAATCTGAAGGATGCGGGCACCTATAAATGTCAGGCTGACAACGGACTTGGAGAGGTATATTTACATATATAATTAAAGGGATTGTAATCTTAGCGTAATTTAAATTGACCTTCCATTTAAAGAGGCATTCCCTATTCACAACGTACGCTAACGAACACCCAAATTTTGCGACAAACAGCATTTTAGAGATTAATCCACAGAGTTCTCTGTCCTTTGTCATTCAAAGGTTTAAAAGGTACCGTTGAGAATCAGCGATGCCCCCTTCACACTTGAAATTACGCTTATATTTATTTCCAATTTTTTCCCCCCAATATGAAATACCAAACAATTTCCTGAGTTTAAGATTCCAAAATTTAGAATTTCCTAAGTGTAAGATACCAAAATTTAGAATTTCCTAAGTGTAAGATACCAAAATTTAGAATTTCCTTAGTGTATGATAACAAAATTTAGAATTTTTAAAGAAAGAATATACCTTTTTGCACAATTTCTCAAGAAGCACTGAAATAATTTTTTCTCTGAAGTCTTAATGAGAGAAAAGTATAGTAAAATGTCATAATGGTGTCCTTTTGGAAAATGTTTAAGTTACAATCCAGGTTCAAATTCCTGTTAGAAATTAGGTTCAGTAAAGACGATATTTATTCGTTGCTTAATTAGGAATTTCTGCTTTCTTGGTATACAAGATCAGATATCACAACCTATGATAGATATTTATACATATTGTATATTCATATATCTAATCATTTAAGAAACTAGCTTTTTGTCACTTCAATTAAAATCCTACACTTAAATGATATGTTAGCCCAGATATTTTGTACATAATATTTTCATGTTATATATCTTTGTTTTATCTACCTTCAATACTTTTCAACTGATTGCATTGTATTACTTCAAGATAAAGTATTTTCTTCTAATTCTAAAATTTTGATCTGATTGTTATCATGGGAAAAAATCCAAACGTTGAAACCATGGATTAGATGTCTATCTGTAAATTCGGTTTGCAATCTTAACAGGGTTATACATTCTCCTTACCCCATCCACCCTTATTCTAGACAACAAAATTGTATTAAGAAATAATAAAAAAGCATCCCTAAAAATAGAACACTAACAAAAATGAAGAAAGAAACAGCCCTGCACTGCAAAAAAAAGGAATGAGGCCGACATGCATGCAAAATAATTGGCAACCCCCCGTTTTATTATATATATCTAGTAGCAGTAGTAGCAGTATACGTTTCTGAACAAAGAAAGCATTTTTCTTCTTTGTTTAAGGGCGGATCCAGATTGATACAGGAAACTGTCCTCAACATAATTTCTTTTAGTAGAGGGGGGGGGGGTCATGGTGGTTAGCAAATGATAATTTACGAGCATACTTAAACATCAAAATTTGTTTGCAAGAATTATCATGTCAATTCTAAAATTAACTTATCTAGTTTTTACATTTTTAAAATGTTAATTCTTAATAATTCAAGTTTATATCAATTTAAGTTTTTAGTATTGTCATTTATCTTAGACCTTCACAATAAACAAATTACAAACAAATTCTTAGTAAAAATATGGTTATTAAGACACCCTGTATTGTATTAAAAATATGGTTATTAAAACACCCTGTACTGCAGTAAAAATATGGTTATTAAAACACCCTGTACTGAAGTAAAAATGTGGTTATTACAACACCCTGTACTGTAGTAAAAATATGGTTATTAAGACACCCTGTACTGTATTAAAAAATATGGTTATTAAAACACCCTGTACTGTAGTAAAAAGATGATTATTAAGACACTCTGTACTGTATTAAAAATATTTAGATACCTTGTAATATATACTGTATAATATTCTACTAATGAAGCCTAAATTAGTGTAGATGATTTGCCATTTTAACAGTGCTATGTGCACAATTTTCCTTATCAGTCATATCTTTAGATCTATTCATTTATTATTTTAGATCAATTTATTAAACCCTATTCATTCATGATCTTTGATCAATTCATTAAACTCTATTCATTGATTATTTTAGATCAATTCATTAAACCCTATTCATTTATTATTTTAGATCAATTCATTAAACCCTATTCATTTATTATTTTTGATCAATTCTTTAAACCCTATTCATTTATTATGTTAGATCTATTCATTGAGCCCTTTTCATTTATCATTTTTGATCAATTCATCAAACCCTATTCATTTATCATTTTTGATCAATTCATTAAACCCTATTCAATTATTATTTTAGATCAATTCATTAAACCCTATCCATTTATAATTTTAGAACTATTCATTAAATAGATTAAGATAGAAAGTCGTCTTCATTTTATTGATATATACGACGACGACTCTATTTCTAATTGATCTATTTTTTTTGTATCGTTTGCTACCCCTCATTGATAGAATGATTAAGTTGAGTGTTGAAAAGACTGGGACGGATGGTTAATCAAAAACATGCCAGCTCATTCACTCACTAATTCATTCTGCCTCCATAATACAAATGGATATCTGGTAGTTCAGATGCCAAATATTAAATGAAAGGTCATATATAATGAAGACGAGATATAAGGGGGGGGGGGCGGTTAGAATTTTGGGATTTAGTAGGTATAAAACACACTTAAATACAAGTTTTACCTTCTTCTCAGTTAATGTACCTTAATTTTAGTTTTTTTAAGCATAAATGACTGGTAACAATATGGAAACCTTCAATTTATAAAATTATTTTTACGTTTTTGTTAAAAATATAACTCTAAGATTGTCTTTTGAAATTAATTGGAATCTGTTTGAAGCTCAACGTATCTGATTCTGAATTTGGCAGTCATTTACTTAGATTTAAAATTCAAAAACTTGTTATGATTAAAATCCATCATTTTGAAAAAAGAAAATCCGCCAGTTTGTTAGGATTAAATCCGCCATTTTGCTAGGATTAAATACGCCATTTTGCTAGTAATAAAATCTGCCATTTAGGGTTTAATAAAACCTGCCAATTTTGGAGTTGAATTGTCTGGTTTATTAATTCTCCTGTAGGGTTTGATGAGCAGTACTAAGTATCCCCACGATATGATATTTATATCTATCCTAGTATATATGTAGCTCAGCTGTATATCGTATGCTGAATCTAACTCTCTATCTTTTTGCATATCTGCGCGTATTTCTCCCAGCGTGAGAGAACAATGCATAATATTGTCCAGATCAGATTTAACTGCCCGTATTTATCACAGGAGAAAACTTTTCTATGTCCATTGTGCACTTCCTTCTCTTCAGCATAAACCACTTTAATTATGATCATCAGTTTATCCACAGGATTCGTACCAGACAGGAAATTTTCTTATTTGAATAATAAATATTTCATTTTTAGATTGGCGAACAGGAGCTGGAGCTTGATGTTTTGTTTGCCCCGGAGGTTTCTGTACCAGCTATGCGTGAGTTTGGAGAAAATGAGGAAATTCTGATCCATTGCAATGTAACTGCCAATCCGCCAGCACACTCAGTTGTTTGGTCCAAGGCGGATGATCCCGAGTTCCGCCAAGTTGGGTCTCCCCTCCGCCTTCCCGGCTCCAACTCCGCCGCACAGAACAATGGTTTGTACACTTGCACCGCCACGAACGTGATCCAGCCGACCAACAAGCAGAAGATGGAACGAACTGGGAACGCTACAATCTCTATTGCCGTGAAACATGCTCCAGGGGCAACCTTTATCCTCCCAGAGAAACCAACTGTACTGGAAGGTGGACGGGTAACTATGGAATGTGGATCTAAACCTCCTGGTTATCCTTTACCTGAGATCACATGGTGGAAGGATGAGCGAAGCATAGTTGCTACAGGGTCCTCCTTTACCCTTGATGCTGCTAGGTTGGATAGCGGTGGTAAATACTACTGTCAAGCAACTAACATAATGGGAACAGGATCTGTTGCTGAAACCCTTCTCCAAGTTTACCAGGAGCCTAAACTTGATATTAAACTGAAAAGCACAATCGTTAAACGTAGTGGTGACACTGGATATCACATTGCTTGCTCCGCTATTGGCAAACCTAAGCCTAAAATCATGTGGTTTAAAAATGGTGTAGAGATTGACGGCTCAACTAGTAATCTGTATCAGATTACAGTCCCTGAGCAAGAAGTTCGCTCTAATGAAGCCTACAATGTTCTCTCTACTTTGAAGTTTGTTGGGCCCGACCGAATCTCGAAAGATCACCTTATGGCCACTGACAGGGGAGAGTATACTTGTAGGTTTGAAAATGAGGTTGGGGTGGCAGAATCAGTTATGCTCCTTAGAATTGAACACAGTCCAGTCGTCAGGCATCAACATAACAAAGTAGCAGCAGACCAAGGAGAGACGGCTGTGATTGCCTGTAGAATGCAGGCCTATCCGAGCATCAGGTTTGAATGGTCGAAAGGAAACTCTCTTCTGACAGATCGCCCCCCACATAGTATGACCATGACCGAACTTGGAGATGATATATTTGAGGGAGTCCTAACAATTTCACACGTTGATGATTCCACTTATGGCGAGTATGCATGCAAAGCATCAAACCAACTTGGAGCACAGAAAACTCTTATCACTCTTCAACCTAAAGGTAAACCGGAGAAGCCTCGAGATGCCCGAGCAGTTGAGGTATTCTCGGACTCCTTGATGCTAGAGTGGGATGAAGGATTTAATGGAGGGTATAACAAAACTACGTATAACGTTGAATACAAGAAGATTGGAGGTGGTAGCGCCCAGTACTCAGACTGTAGATGGAGAAATCCTTGTAATATTACTGGACTTGAGCAGAACACTAAATATCAGTTTAAAGTCAAAGCTGTTAATATCCGAGGAGATTCTGATTGGTCTCGAGACATATCTGTTACTACTGCCGTAGATGTCACCAAAATACCGCAACCTGAAGAAATATTCTATGAATCCTCATCCAAGACAGTGTTCTTTAATGTCGTAAACTATCCCATGGGACTGGTCGCCAAGATCGAACTCCAGAACCCCGACGAGACTTGGAGACCACATGCCCGGTTAGGAATGAACGATCGAACCTACGGACAGATGGATATTGCAGAACCAGATATTACCGGTATCCGAGTTCGACTGTGCCTGGGTACGGATGAAAGCCTCTGTGGAGAATATGGAACTGCTGAGATTGTTGAAGTCCGTGAAACCAAATATTCCACAGCTGGCCTGCCCATAGAAGGTGTGATTGCCATAGCAATCTTTGCTGTTCTGCTGGCTATAGCTGCCATAGGTCTTGTCATAAAATGCTGTTTCTGCTCTACTCCTAAACCCAAAAAATTAACTAAGGATGATATTGCGGGACCCAACAGGCTTCAGAACAACCACAACACCTACAACTACGACAACAAGGGTGTTAGTGCCAAGGACACCGCGGACTCCCCTGATGTTATCAAGTCCCAGATGTACGGTTACAATTATGCACCCTCAGTTGCTACCGCCCAGACCCCCGCTGTAGGATATGATCAGAGCTCTTCAACTTCAAACAATGGTGGCTCTGTAAATTCTCAGGTAGGGATTTTTTATCAAATTATTTCCATAAAAAAAAGAATAATTACAGATAATGCTCAATAGAAAAGTTTTTGCAAAATCTCTCATCAAATGAACAATGCGTAGCCCTGTACATTTCTTAGTAAGCCTGACTAAGCATTATTAGGATATACCGTATACTATATCATGCCAAAAACCATGGGGAGAATAAGTTATGCATTAAACCCCTATTGTAATTCAACGAAGGCCCAATCTAAAGATTACCGCCAGTTTATCAAAATTTTCGTCGTTGCTCAATAATACGATATGTTGGGGAGAGAGGTGCGTACTACGTATATGCAATTTCGAAAATCTACTAAAATGGATGTATGTTCTTTTTATGGGCTTTAAATCCCTATTTTTATGCAGGACGGAGTACTCATGCCTGATTGTTATGCTTGTTCAAATTGAAGGCCAAATAGTCAGCTTTTTACATAGTTTTATATACACTCTTACATACAGACTGCTGGTAGGCTATGCCATGCAGTTTTTACTGATAACGCCCTTTTAATTTTTGCACCAAGTGAGTTTGGTGATCTTTAGTTCAGATAGCAAAGGAATGTTTAAAACTAATTAAATATAGATGGAGGGGGGGGGGGTTGCTAAATTAGGCATTATTGATTATAAAATATTAGTTGTCAATCATGCAATTTTAAACTGTAATTGCTTTTAAAAATTATCACGAAAGACTGGCATCAAATAATTTTGTTTTTATTAAGGATTCATTGTGGAACGTGAAGCACCCTGTCACTGGTATGCCCGTGGACCCCAGTGTTAACGGTTACATTGGGGCCGGGTACTATGGAGAACAGTACACACAACAGTACAATCAGTATAACCAGTACAATCAACCACAACAACTACAACAACAACAATACAATTACGAAGAGTATCCACACTACCCCAACCCTGAGGAATATATTGGAGATAGAAACAGAGCTTATTATCCTAATGGAGATGTGTACGCTATGACCAACAAATCCAGATCGAGATTAGATTCTGACTGTAAGTATCTTTTTAAATGTGTATTTATTTGTTCCTTGAGTTCTAATTGTGCATCCACATGTTGACCTTTAATTGTATAATACAAAAATGTATCTAAATAAATTTAATCAAAAGTATCATATTTCAAGTTACACCGCGCGGGTACTTAGAATACCTAATTAGTCCAATTAAGCTGTTGTTATATTATTCAGTTTTTATTTTCATTATCCTTATTATCATTATTATTATTGTAATTATTTTTTTTCCAGATTCCCCCTATGGAGATGTTTCCGGGCTTCCCGACCCCTACACAGGACATGATATCTCAGACGAGCTGAGGAACCAGGACATGTCCTTGTCCCAGGACGACTCCGCCCCACCCCCCGAGGGGTATTCCACCCCCTCCCGGAGGGTCATACGCGAGATTATCGTCTAAGATCTTGCGCTTCTGTGATCTGAGAATACTCAAGTCTGTGATACTAAATATTTATCAAAGAAGTGATCGATCAATCGATCCTTTAAATACCTGTTATGAAAGATCGATGCTCTTCTTTCTGAACAATAGAATGCATTGAATTTCCTCGAGCGGCCATTTTTTAGAAAAAAAATCCGTGAATGTGTGATCAGCTGACTTGTAATGGCGGATTCTCTGAAAACTATGATTTCACAGCTGAATCCATCGTCGCTATTTTTCTAAATCTACACAATATTAAAATGTGGGAAACGTTACTTATGACTTGCCAATCTTATCGTGTTTCCTAACCCCACACTTAATCCATATAATCCTTAAATAATCGGATTATGATATAAAATGTCGGAAAAGACTTGACATTGTTAATTTTGCTCATTTTTTGGTGATCTCAACCCCGTCTGTAAAATTAAACCGTGGGAACTCGATGATTTGTCTTAACTTATTGATTTACCTGTAAATAATCTTTACATATTGTAAATAGTTTGGACTTGTGAAAATTTATTGTAATTTCCAGACCGTTACCTTATCTATCCTAGGACCGAATATTTTAATATTTTCTCCGCTCTGCTAATCACAGAAGATGATAAACCGGCGGGACCCGTCAAATAACTTGTGAGGACAAAATGTTTTGACTTTACTGACACATGTCGCTACAGGATTTTTTGAAGGACCGGTCGTAAACGGCCTCCTAGGGGGGCGTTAAAGCTCCGACACTCGGCTCTTAAACTTATATTTAAAATAGTGTGTACCTTCCCATCTGGACACTTACATACACGTTTGTTTTTTACCAATGATTTTTCCGTCAAAATTGTTGAAAACTAGGCCGGTTCATGTTCGTTGATATTTAAACGATTATTGCTTAAAAAGTGATACCTTCACTCCATTTGTTTGATTGATGATGGTTCGTAATTTATGGGATCAGAAGAAATTGTTTCAAATTATACATCTTATATACTCTTTCCTATACAGGATGAACCTGTCTGCTTAACCCCCCCCCCCCCTCAATTAGAACTTGAAAATCGAAAGCGTCATTACACGCATTTGACCCGATGCGACTTAACGCCCGTTGTGAAAAATTTTTTTGTCGAGCTTTTTGTTAAATGCGCGGTAAATCTGTGGAGATATGAAGTACAAATATTGTATCGAACTATTGTTATAAATTTATTTAGATCAATAAATGAATATTTGAAAATTAGATGATATTTTCTTAATTTTACGATGATGTATGTAGTAGTTAAAAAGTATTATGGACTTTGTCTCAAGTTAACTAATTTAACGAATTTGAGAGGTTGCTTAACTTCTTCCGGAATCCTGAGTCACCGGTTCAAATCCTTGTGAATTTTAACATGGAATTAGTAATTATAAATTTGACCTGGCGGTAGGTAATTCAGCGACCTAGCTAATATTCATTAAACTTGGTCCTCGGATGAAAAAGTGAAAGATTCAGGGTGTCCCACGAAACATGACAGTTGGTAATTAATTTGGAATGTCTTCTTCCTTATATTTTAATACATACTAAAGACTTTGAATTTTTTCGTTTAATAAAATCTTTTACTAAAATATATTTTAACATGAAATCAATTTTACTTTTTTATGACCACCATTAAATATTCTCATAATTCTCTTTGGTATTAACAGCCATGGAGAATAGTAAACAGCATAAGTAATCATGGAAAAAGACATTTTAAATTATTCACAACCGTCATGTTTTGTGTGACACCCTTTAGCTAAATAGTTGATATAATCCTGTCATGATTAAATTCTAACAAAAAGGTATTGATTTTCAACTAACGGAAATGATCATAATTGAATTGACCCCCTTGAAATCATCAAAAGGAACTGAACTCCAATTTCAAGGCCAAGGAAAGGCTTTGTCGAATCAAGAATGCCAGAAAAATCCATATTCTTTTGTTAGAAAAATTGAATTTTAGTTGTGGTTTTCTAAAATGCGAGTTGCGCAGTTCTGCTTTAGAAGCAGGAGAGGGACGGGAAAATAAAATTGTTTAACACGTGCCCAAAAAACAACAAAATCTTCCAACATTATTGACTAAATTGAGGTTAAATGGTACCGTTTTGAATTGAGTGAATGCTTTTAAAATAGAAGTTTATTCGATCGAAATCACAACTTTGGTCCCTTTAAGAGTAAAAAATATAAAATCGGGAAATCCCACTCTCGGGATACCTGGCAGGGGCGGACCACGGGCCCCACCCTGAGCTCCTGGAGGGGGTGGATCTCCCGTAAGGAACTTTATGATATGAAATGAAACATCAAGTGATGAAAAATTACAGTTAGAAAGTGTGAGAACTAGAGTTCACAGATAGAAAGTAGAAAAACTGAAGTTTAATTAAAGATAGAAAGTAGAAGAACTGGAGTTTACATATAGAAAGTAGAAGAACTGAAGTTTACAGATGGAAAGTAGGAGAACAGGGGTTTACAGATAGAGATTATGAAAACTGGAGTTTACAGATAGAAAGTAGGAGGTCTCGAGTCTTCAGATAGACAACTCATGGAGTTAACAGATAAAAAGTATGAACACTAGAGTTTACAGATATAAAGTAGGAGAACTGGAGTTTACAGAGAGAGAGTATGAGAACTGGAGTTTACATATAGAATGCAGCCTACAGGCGAACTAGATTTTACAGATAGAAAGTAGGAGAATTCGAGTTTACAAATAGAAAGTAGGAGCACTAAAGTTTACAGATAGAAAGTATGAGAACTGGAGTTTACAAATAGAAAGTAGGAGAACTAGAGTTTACAGATAGATAGTTGGAGAACTGTAGTTTACATATAGAACGCAGGAGAACTAGATTTTACAGATAGAAAGTAGGAGAACTGGAGTTTACAGATAGAAAGTTGAAGTACTGCAGTTTACAGAAGAAAGTTCAAGAACTGGAGTTTACAGATAGAAAGTAGAAGAACTGGAGTTTACAGATAGAAAGTAGAAGAACTAGATTTTATAGACAGAAAGTAGGAGAGAACTAGATTTTACAGATAGAAAGTGGGAGAACTGGACTTTATAAACTTATATTTTTTGAACAAATAAGAAATAGGAATTTACTGCTTTTTATTCAACTTTTAGTGGGGGCCCAAGTGGGGGGGAGGACATTTTTTTCCCCCTACGTGCGCAATTATGGGCCCCCCATGAGATAATGGTTTGTTCCGCCCCTGAATTCCCTGGCCGTAACCCCAGCGAGGGAGGGAACCAGGAACCTCCGGCCGCCATAAGCCTCGAAGATTTGCAAGACGAGCCTCACCTTTACAACAGAGCTTCTTTAAAACTCTTTATTACATGTGAAAACAGGTATTGTTTACGCTATGACTGATTGCTGAACTGATTAAAGAAATTTTGAATATTCTGAACATTTTGAGCGGTGGGATGGCCGGGTTGACTTTTGTTGAAATAAAAAAGAATTGAAATATTTTTGGGTTGTTTTCTAAAATGAGAACATATCCTTCTTAAATATTGTAAATTTGATTAACACTAAAGGGAGATTTTGACATCCTTCTAGCTTAGTCCTTAAGTCGCATGGATGACATACAAAATTGCGTAGTATAGACATACGACGGAGTGGGGTTGTGATTGACGGGGGTGGGGGGTAGGAGTAAATCGTAATAGATTTGAATTCCTCTCTCAGTTCCTTGTTACTGTTTCAGGTGTAATGTAATAATCATGTTATGAGTATTCTGAAATAAAAATCAATTATTCTAAAATTAAAATCAATTATTCTAAAATTAAAATCAATTATTCTAAAATCAAAAACAATTATTCTTAAATTAAAACCAATTATTCTTAAATTAAAACCAATTATTCTAAAATTAAGACCAATTATTCTAAAATTAAAACCAATTATTCTAAAATTAAAACCAATTATTCTAAAAATTAAAACACATTATTCTAAAATTAAAACCAATTATTCTAAAATTAAAACCAATTATTCTTAAATTAAAACCAATTATTCTAAAATTAAAATCAATTATTCTAAAATTAAAATCAATTATTCTAAAATTAAAACCAATTATTCTAAAATTAAAACCAATTATTCTAAAATTAAAATCAATTATTCTAAAATTAAAACCAATTATTCTAAAAATAAAACCAATTATTCTTAAATTAAAACCAATTATTCTTAAATTAAAATCAATTATTCTAAAATTAAAACTAATTTTTCTAAAATTAAAACCAATTATTCTAAAATTAAAATCAATTATTCTAAAATTAAAATCCATTATTCTAAAATTAAAACAAATTATTCTAAAATTAAAACAAATTATTCCAAAATTAAAATCAATTATTCTAAAATTAAAATCAATTATTCTAAAATCAAAATCAATTATTTCAAAATTAAAATCAATTATTTTAAAATTAAGATCAATTATTCTAAAATCAAAATCTATTATTCTAAAATTAAAATAAATTATTCTAAAATCAAAATCTATTATTCTAAAATTAAAATAAATTATTCTAAAATCAAAATCTATTATTCTAAAATTAAAATCAATTATTCTAAAATTAAAATCAATTATTCTAAAATTAAAATCAATTATTCTAAAATCAAAATCAATTATTCTAAAATTAAAATCAATTATTCTGAAACAGTTTTTAAGGCACATGCATTATAGGAGATAGTAAACATTTTAAAAAACAAGTTTCTTTTTTTAAAAACATAATCGAAGTTTTTTTCTTAAAAAAATTTAAACAACTAATTTTCTCCCTAAAGATTTGCGGATTTGTGTAACACAGAAAAATGAGGGAATTAGAGTCGCTTGTATTTTTAAGACAGAAAACGATTAAGGTTTAAAGGGGTCCGTTAAATAAATCCAACATGTAACGTTTTATACCTATAGAGTAACTTAGGTTAATGCCCACCAACTGCACTTTCCCTTTAACACTATGAACTAGATTTAATCTTTTGGTATATATTGCATGTATGTATGTGTGGGGGAGGGACGGGGAATTACACTGCTTTCTCCTGCTTAGTAACCATCAAACATTATACCTGGAAAGTCCTTTACTGACTTTTATAAAATGAAAATGTCGAAAAATCAAAGAAATTCTTTAAAATAATGTTTATATAAAACGTCTTTCGTTGTTTGCTGAAAAATCTTCTAATAATTTTAAACTGGAATATGAAGACGACTTTTAGGCTCAAATATGCCTTTAAATAGTCTAATATGACGCAAAAATTGTGCAGTTTAAACAGACCCATTAACTTGATAAGTGATTTAATAAGTTAGAAAACTATTTGCTTCGTAAATACATCAAATGCACTCAAGTATTGCTGAAATGTCGTCTTTCTCTGTCACAGTTTTCTGGTTATAACTGTTGACATTTAAATGATTCTACCCGTATATGCCTGTAAATACGGGATAAAATCTGAATGAATAATTGGTGTATTGACCCTATTAATCGATTTTTGCTCACATGTTAATAAACTTTTAGCTTTTATTCAAGTGCCGGACAGGTGGAATACAGTTCACAGATAGAAAGTAGAAGAACTAGATTTTATAGACAGAAAGTAGGAGAGAACTAGATTTTACAGATAGAAAGTGGGAGAACTGGACTTTATAAACTTGGGACATCTAGGGACCCCAGGGAAGGTTTATGAATGATTGAAATTTTAAATATTTGTGTTTAAGAGGTTTTTAATTTTGTAAAAAATTTAAATCTTTGAAAATCCGCAATTTTTTTTTTTTAAATCCGCAAAACTTTTTTCATCTTTGTTTTGAAATGTAAACAATTCGAACATGTTCCTAATTTAAATAGAAGATGGGCGCGAAGCGCCCTAAAAGCTAGAAAGAAGGGCGCGAAGCGCCTTGAATTTCTAGTACAATTCAATACAATACAATACAATACAATACAATACAATACAATACAATATACAATGCAATAGGAAATGATAGTTTGCTTTACTGTAAAATTTTTTTAAAATTATGTAATGATAAAAAGTATAAAAATTCGTTTTTTTAAATTAAATATATTTAGAAAATACCACAATAGTAAAATGTGGACGAATGCAGCTATGGAAAGGTAAATTTTGAAAAGAAATTTTGTATAAAATCATCAAAATTTAATATGTATTTTCAAAATTTTCTTTTTTAAACATAAATAATAATCTATTTGGCTAAAAATTCTTCATCCGATCTAAATATCAAAGTTTTTAATATTTCGTATAAAAATAAGCCTAAACTTAAAACTAATGAAAGGTCCATGAATCGAATTAATCTCATTCGATATATTTAAATAATAAAAAATATGGGGTGTCCCACGAAACATGACAGTTTGTGAATAATGTTTAATGTCTTCTTCCATAATACTTTAAGACTTTTTTTCAATTTATTTTATTAACCAAATCTTGTACTCAAATATATATTTGTTTAAAATCAATTTTACTATAATATTACAGCCCCTTAGTATGTCTTATCATCATCTTTGGTATCAATCAAACAACTTAACAAATTATGGAAGAAGACATTTTAAACTATTCACCAACTGTCATGTTTCGTGGGACACCCTATATATTAACTCAATGGAGTAAATAATATGATATATATAACGAATGCAAGAATAGTGTTAAGTAACTGCAGTGTGGATAAATGAACCACTTTTCTAGTACACCCATCCACTCAATAATAGTTTAACTATCCATGCATCTACAGGGTGTCCCATTAATTCTGACGGTTTTTAAACAGCCATTTCTCTGCCTTTTATTTTGGAAATTTTACATTCTGTAGGAAGATTTGATCAACTATAATATGAACGTGCAATATAACAAATAATCCACAAAATGAATAACAGAAAAAGCTTGCTTTAACTAATTTTGCATGAAGATAACCAAGGCCAAGAGCTACCGCAAGGTTTTGAAAATTTGTCGGTACCTCTTTTCGTTACAAAGTTATAACTCATCAAAATCAACCCGGTCGAAATACTTATAAGAGTTACAGATGATTCTCGCACCAGAGCTGAATTATGCATGCAAGAGAAAATGGCGGTCAGTTTAAACACATGGCCGGCAAAGAAAAAGAAGTGAATCCAGTCATAAAACAGAACGTTCATAGTTATAAAGAAAAAGAATTTCAAAATATAAATGTAACCAAATATTTCTGTCCATAACTAAGACCAAAAATTGTCAGAATTACTGGGACACCCTGTAGTTTAACTTGTTAAGCGAGCTACTCATAAGTTCCGACCTTTGTACTTAAAAATATTTAGAGCACTGGTACGGAGACAAGTGGCAGGACGTTTCCGTCACTCTCTTCCAGGTTTGTGTAAATGTTCATGAATTTTAAACAAACAATCATCAAAATTGGGTTTAAATGTTTTTTATTTTTTTTTTTTTTGTTTGCTTACAAAAACCCACTCTGAACAAATACTCAAATCATTTTAGTGCTATACAATTTTCAAAAATAATCATCTTACATATTCAAAGTCTCTGAAGAAATTGAGCTTTTGCCATAAACTCTGATTTTCTAATTTCAATATCGCTGCAACCCAATGTTGTAATCCTTTGAAATGTCCAACTATGAAAGCTATTAGATGAAATAATGTGAGTTTGCAATATCAAAGGTGTATATCATCAGGTTGCAAAGATATAGGGGTTACAAAAATTGAATTTGTGGCAAAGATACAAATCCTTTGACTAACCTATGACAGATAAAAAATTAACTCGGGCCTGGGGGTATAAAATGAACTTGAATCCACATACCTTTGATACAATGCCTTAGACTTTTTTTTAGTGCCACTTCTAATATTTGCTGTTCTTGCCTGTTATGTATAACTTGGCTTTATATCTTTTTTTTTATTAAAAACAAAAACATCTTATTGAATCCTTTCTTAGTCTTAATCTAACTTTTCCAACAAATTTTTTCCCAACTATTTTCTTTAAAATATTGTCAAAGTGGTTTCGTGAATTTAAAGATCAATAATCTGCAAATGCCTGAATAATTAAATGCTCCTGATAAATTGATTAATTGGTTGGTATTATAGATGATGAATAAATGATCAAAGGCTAAATCTTTTGTTTGAGATAGCGCTAAGCCACATCATCTGGAGTCGATATTCACAATGTAAACTTTTCTATTGAAAGGATAAAGTTTAACTCTGGGGATATACGAGTAATCCGCCAAAAGAGAAAACCAAAAAATATAGCCAAAAAAGGAGAAGCTGTGCCTGACAACTAAAATATTGAACCGTCTGAGGGAAGAGAAACCGATTAAGCGGATTCTGATTAAAACTTTAAAAGTTTTGTTCTCAGGACAGTGTGATGGTTTGGAGTGATGAGGATGGATCCCAACCTACTGGAGGAGTTAGAATATCTTCAGGTTAAGAATAGGATCAAGTTTATAAATGTAGAAATGGGCGCGTTCAGCTTTTTTTCAATTTGTTCGTTCTTCGTTCGTTTGTTCAGTAAAATCTTTAATTAAATAGAATTGTTCGTTCAGTAAAAAAAGTCGATCTTTTCAAGTTCAGTCGAAAAAGCTGTTTAATCAGTAAAACAATAGATTTCTGAAATTTTCGTACGGAAAATGTTTCGTATAGGTAAAACCGATCGTTTTTCAAAAGTTAGTGAGAAAAAAATCGGGTTTTTAAGAAAAAAAAGATATTTTTTTCAAGTTCGTTGGAACGAACGATTTGGAATCGTAGTTTTCAAGAAACGAAAAGGGAATTTTCTGTTGTGTGAACAGACCTATATTTAGTTATAAAGTAATTAATTAAGTTACTTGTAAAAATATTAGACTTGCAATACCATAAAATACAAGCAGTTATTGTTCAAATGTCGTCTTCCTATTCCACAGTTTTCTGGTTCTCAGTGTATGTAAACTGTGTATTACAATTACTAGAATATTTACATAATTTGCTTACTCAATTTCTTTGATCCGTTTCACTTCACTTAATTAAACCAAAACAATTGACTAATTGAATTTAAATAAAAATAAATATTGTTTTTGATCTTTAATGTCCCTGGACATTTTGTTGCATATTTGTAGATAAATAGTGTAGATACACTCAAAACTTTATTTCAACTGCACACTTAAAAAATCCGCAAAATACCATGGACAAAATGAATATATTAGTTTTATTTAGCATGACATTTGACAAACTTTTCATTGAAGCGGTTCAAATGATTTTATTTTTAACTACAATAAGAACCAAACTTAGGAATAGGAAGACGACTTTAGATGTAGTCTAATGAACATGAGACACAGCAATTGTGCATGGTAACCAAACCCATTTAATTAAATAAGTTACTAGCACAAATATTTGCTTTGAAACACCATAGAATACACTTATTTAGTGTTTAAATATCGTCTTCCTAGTCCACAGTTTTCTGGCTTTCCCTGTAATTCTCTTGGCCATTCCTGAGAGGAGAAGTTGTGATTAACTAGTTTAGTAAATGCAATATTATTGACGAAATGGTTTAGGGATAATTCAGAATGTCGTCTTTAATATTTGCCAAACCTTGTTAAACCAAGGTTGTATAATACGGTTTGTTACTCTCGATGCGCTCATATGTACGGAAAATGTCGTCTCCTAAGATAGAGAGATAAATACCTAATATGACGTCACTGATTATAAAAGAGAGTTTTACGTTATATTGGGTGTTTATCTATCGATATTCTACAACCCTGGTTAAATTAAGGTTTGGCAAATATTAAGGACGACATTCTGAATTATCCCAAAACCATTACGTCAAAAATATTACTACCCGACATTATACAACCTTGTGTTAAACTTTCATAAAGATGCATTGCACTGCACATAAGGTTTCCAATCCTGAAAAATCGTTCCTTAAACTTTTTTCAGCATGTCAAAATTTATTGAACTTAGTTAAGAAAAAATCCCCTTTCTCGATACAATATTTTCTTAACGAAAATTTGAAGTCGCCAAAAGGTATCAAACATTTCAAATAAATTCTTTTTTAGCACCCGAGATGTTTGCAGCTGGGGAATTTGTGGAGAAAATCCCGGGGAAAAAACCCCAATGGCCGGAAAGAAATTCACCGAAAACGGTAATCATAAAAATCAATTAATTAATCGATTGATTGATCAACAATTAGAATTATTATTATTATTATTATTATTATTATTAGTCTAGGAGAGTACATTTGTTTATTGTTAATTGTTTAATTAAAAATAAGTTTAATATGCATGTAATATATTATTTACATATTTAAGTCAACACTATAAAACAAATTTTCATGCAAAGAATATAATTTGATGAAAGTTTACAATAAACTACTCGTTATTCAAGTTTAATTATAATTGACGACATTGTTCTACAATTTCCTTGACTGTAATCATGTTGTGTGTCTGTACCAGAAGAGTGTTTGTAAGTTTACTGTACTGGTCTGCAAAGCAGTGCGACTGGCTTTCTCTTGCCGGACCAGCGCCATTTCCTTTCCCTTTATTCCTGTTCCCTGGGTATAATGTTTTGTTTAGCTTTGTATAATTTTTAATTGCAATTGCAGTTCCTTGCATAACTCATCCAACTGACAAAATCCACATGTACCAATTAAGAATTAATCGTAAACCAAACATAAAACAACAAAATCAAATTTGGAAAATTAATTACTAAAAACTTTAACTTATTTCTATCCTTTGTTAGAAAAAGATGTAGCGCTAGAGACCAAATTTAAAGAATTTGAGCTTGGAGATCTGGCTAAACTGCCTACCGCCGGTTCAAATTTGAACCAACGATTCAAATCCTTCCTTAATCTTGAGTCGGTGGTTAAAATTTGAACCGGCAGTAAGTAGGTTGTTAAGTAACGCATCTCATATTCTTAAAATTCGTTCTCAAGAATTTTTTTAAAAAATAATATTCTTACAAGGACTTTTTTAAACCTTTAAAAGAACCTGGAAAATACTTCTCCGTTTTCCAGGTCTGTGACAGATTTACAGGACTGGATTCAGGCCGTATCCTCCACCCTTCCCCCTCCACCCAACGCTACCGGTATATAAAAAATATAGAATTCTTTTTGTGGGTTTAACTGTAATATATCCCAAATTAAAGAATTAAAAAATGTAAAATTGTCACCTGAAAATTATTCAGTGAATATTGCCACGAAACTTTCATTTTTTGTTTTGCCTCGAATTCCGCATTTTTGCGCATTCGATCCTTACGTAAAAAAACCCGGCAAATTCTGCATTTTTGCCTATTTTTCTCTTAAAAAACCCTCCAAAACTGCCGCATTTTGCGCAGAATTCTGTCTTCATAAATCTGTTTCGCTCAAAAATATGTTAAAAAATGAGCAAATATTCAAAAAGTGCAACAGACAAGTTTGAAAAAACAATTGCAAAGGAAAAATTGAGGCAAATTCCGAGAAGACATTTATCTTGAAAAAACATTTAATAGGATATGGGATATGGGATATGGGATATGGGAGGATGGGTAAAGGTAGAAAAATGATTTATATATAAAATAATAACACTTATGATGCTGGACTGAAACTAAAGGAGCAGAAATATCCACGTATTAAAAAAAATCTTGATCAATATTTTTTCCTTGGATTTGTTTTAGCAGAATTGTGCATCGTTTGCGCTTGCTTCCTCAAAACTCAAAAATGCGGAAATCCTCGAAATTTGCGGATTACGCAACGCACATGTTAGGATACCCTCAGTGGAAATAAATTAATGATAACCGCAGATTAAGATTAAGATTAAGATTAAGATTAAGTTTATAAGATTAAGATTAAGATTAAAAATGAAATTAAGATTAAGACTAATATTAAGATTAAGATTAAGATTAAGATTAAGATTAAGATTAAGATTAAGATTAAGATTAAGATTAAGATTAAGATTAAGATTAATATCAAGATCAAGATCAAGATCAAGATCAAGGTCAAGATCAAGATCAAAATCAAGATCAAGATCAAGATCAAGATCAAGATCAAGATCAAGATCAAGATCAAGATCAAGATCAAGATCAAGATCAAGATCAAGATCAATATCAAGATCAATATCAAGATCAAGATCAAGATAAAGATCAAGATTAAATTAAGATTAAGATTAAGATCAAAATTAAAATTTCTGTAGGACCCCCTGTTACCTATAACCCTGTCCTACCCTCTCATGTGAATCCAGCTCAGCCCCCACCCTACTCTACAGGACCTCCAGGACCCCCACACCAGGTCAGAATACATTTAAAAAGTTACAATTCACAATGGTATCCTCTAAACCTTTCACTAAGCAAAAATGATAAGGATTTTCTTGTATTATTATCTAAATATTGATTTTTTTCAACTGCGGTTCTCTATTAAAGTGAAAAGTGACATTTAGATTTTTGCAGGAAAGAGATGTACGGAAATAAAAATCATTTGCATCTTTTCAATCATTTGTATCTTTACAATCATTTGTATCTTTTCTATCATTTGTATATTTTCAATCATTTTTATATTTTCAATCATTTGTATCTTTTACAATCATTTGTATCTTTACAATCATTTGTATCTTTACAATCATTTATATCTTTATAATCATTTGTATCTTTTCAGTCATTTGTATCTTTACAATCATTTGTATCTTTACAATAATTTGTATCTTTTCAATCATTTGTATCTTTTCAATCATTTGTATATTTTCAATCATTTGTATATTTTCAATCATTTGTATATTTTCAATCATTTGTATATTTTCAATATAGAAAAACAACAATATCTTTCTCATTGTTCAGGGTTACTGTTGTAAATCAGAACTTATGATGCTTTTTTTAATTGCCACTTTAAAGTGCGTGGACAGGGTCTTTAAGAAGATTATAAATTCAAAGTTTGATGATAAAATAAAAATATTTGTTTGAAAAAGGGATTCCAGGCTCCTCGACCCCAGCAACAGCCTCGACCCCAGGGATACGGAGGTAGTGGTGGAGGAGGTGGAGGTGGTGGAGGAGGGTTCCAGGGACAACCAAGAGGATATGGGGGAGGAGGAGGGGTAAGATGGGACAATAATCTTGACCTTGAAATTATAAAGCCTTGGCCTTGACATTATATTTCCTTGACCTCGACATATCATAACTTTGACCTAAACATAATATATCCTTTACCTTGACATAATATAACCTTGAGCTTGACATAATATTTCATTTACCTTGACATAATATAACCTTGACCTTGGCATAATATAACCTTGACCTTGACATAATATATATCATTGACCTTGACCTTGACAACATATTACCTTAACCTCTTGTTTAGTATGGAGGAGGTGGAATGGGAGGAGGAGGACCTGGGCATACAACAATTATAATGGGGGACAGAGGTGGTGATAGAGACAGGTAAATACAAAATAATTATAATATTAAAATATATATTTCTTTATTTCTATATATCTATATATAAATTTGGCTTGTCTGTCTGTTTGTTTGTTTGTTTGTCTGTCTGTTTTAATCCACGAAATTTTTTGTGAAAATCCGCGAATTATTTTTGTTTTATTTTACGATGTACACAAAGAGAACATGTTCACAATTAATTTAGATGATGGGCGCGAAGCGCCCTTTAAGGCTAGTATGTATATATTTCTATGAAATGTTTATGGCACAATAGAATTTATATTCTGTATTAGAACATTGGAGCATTTAATTTTTGGAGAAATAATTTCTTTTTTGTAAATTCCTTTACTTCACTAAGACTTGTGCGTTAAATAAAAACTAGATGAGATACATAAGATCTCAAAGTCGTACGAGAAATTTCAAAAAAAAATGTTGCCTTTTCGTTTTGTCTAGTTTGTAGTGATAAATATATTCTTTAAATGATCCACTTGATGATTTGGCTAAGAAAAAAGCAAATTCAGGTTTTCAGGATTCAGGATTTTCAGAAAACAAACTCTGCAAATTCAGTCGTCTCTGAAGCTTCATTCTTTGTGAGTAACCCTGTATAACTCAGCTTTTTTAGCGGTCCTGGGTTTGGAACAGGGATGATGGTTGGAGGACTCACCGGCGGCCTCCTGGGATACGGTCTCGGCGGAGGCTGGGGAGGAGGTAGGTCAACCAGAGCGGTCAAAGGGATTGGGGGTTTAATGTCACATATAATATTTCTTTAACCCTCCCCCTTTTTGAAAAGTTTTTTCCCCCAAGAAATTATTTATTCTTTTCTTAGGGGTTTAATCGCTGAATTGGTGAGAATAACTGACTTTTCAGGGGAAAATCAATACAAATTTGGTTAAAAAGGTATAAAAAAGAATGAAAAAGTTGCTTTTTGATGTCAAATTTTTCATTTTTCCCCAAAAATAATCAAAGATCATTTCCCAGGGGGGAGGGGGAATTCTGATAAATATAAACCCCTGTAATGTCAAGCGACCCTCCAATTGAAGAGGGATATGCACAATTCTTAATGGTACATCACTTTTATCTCATTAGCAATTGGAAAAGATTAACTTCACCGTTGTTCTAAAATTATCATTTCTGTTATTTTCTTACAGAGAACTAAAATTGAAAATAATTAATAAAAAACAACCAAAAATGACAAGAATATTGGCAATATTTGCTGAGATACAAATATAATTAAATGTAAAATTTCATGTAAAATTAAAACGAGTTTTACAACCGTCTTTCTTTTAAAAGTTTTAAAGGTTCCAATGTAAAAGAATTAATACAGAAGACATTTACTCGTTAGTTTTCTGATTACCATTGAATCTAGGTCATGGTTGGGGCGGAGGATACGGTTTTGGAGGCCATGGAGGCCATGGAGGAGGAGGAGGAGGTTATTATAATTCAGAAACAAATCATACTGAATCATCAGAGGTAATCAAATATAGAGGCAGAGCGTCCCATATTATTTTGTATTATTTCAAAGCTTTAACGCCAAAACAAGTTCATAATACTCGAAAAACCTTGCATTTCCTGCAAGCAAATTTTCATATTGACCTTGAATTTTTCAAACTGATCAATTCTTCTTTAATTTTCTGATTAGTCCTGAAAATCGTAATTTAGAGCCATAAACGATCCAATATGATATGGTGCATCCTGTAGATGGAATTCAATCATGTTAGTTGAATGCTCGACCCAATTTCAATCAAGTTTCAAGTTTTAGAATTCCTCTCGTGCCAAATATTTTTTTTCTGAAGTAAAAAAATAAACAAATAAACTTAAACACACTAATACACAGTGTTAACAATACATTATAAAATAGTTTAACCTAGAATTTCAGAGGTATTGAAAGAATTTATAAAATGTTTTTTTTTCTAAACATACTGATTTTGGATTGCTGTAGATATTTAGTGTTTAATTAAATAACTTTAACAATGTTTCCGCATATTTCATGGCTATTTATTAAGGGTGATTGTTAGTGGCTTTTTTTAGAAATCAGCTAAACGCCAACCAGAGGTTGCTGCGTTTTCACTTTATGAAAATATTGCAATCAGAAGAAAAGTTAAAAATCGTCCATATTTTTGTTTGGCCTTACGGTGATTTCTTCGAAATTCAATCGTCAATTCGCAACCGTTTATGGACGATTTAAAAATTATTTTCTTTTATTGCTATATTTTTTTAAGTGAAAACGCAGCAACCCCCGGTGGGCGGTTGGATTAATCCCAATATTGATAACAATTCCACTATTTATTCATTGTTAGAATTACAGAGATTTAGGTGTTATAGTATAAAACTCATTAAAAAATGTCAAGATGCGATTTAACAAATTTTTTCGATGTCTCCTAAATTCTGTATTAAACTTTTGAGCTCTATATTATGAAAATAATTAAATTACAATTAATATTCAAAGCAGCCCCCTCTCTTTCAATGCTTTGTTCTATAAACTAGATAGCAAAAATGTCCAAAATCATTAACATTGCATGGTCCTAGGGTTGGTAATCGTTTTTGAAAACGATCGTTTAACGATCGTTTTTTGCTTCGTTAAACGATCATTTTTAAAAAACGATCGTTTCGTTTTCTCAAAAAAACGATCGTTTTTAAAACAACCCACTCGTTTTGAACTGTTAGAAAACGAAGAACAATCGTTTTTGAAAACGATCATTTTCAGAAAAACGATATTCGTTTTTCGATTTTCCTCGACGTTTTCTTAACGAAACGATCGTTTTTTTCAAAAATCAAAACGTTACCAACCCTACATGGTCCAAAATTCAGGCTCTAGCTATTACTACTATGTTTTTTGAGACACCCTGTATAGTGTATATCTAATATATTCGTAATACAGTTTTAGAATGCATATTGTTATTCTGTTAAAAAAATATTTTTCATAAACAATTCTTTTATTTAGGTGAATAATACAACAATTAATAATTATTATGACGAAAACGGAGATCTGCAGCAGGTATAGATCTTCTTCTTTTTCTTCTTCATAATATTATTTTTTATTAATTATTATATTATTATTATTATTATTATTATTATTATTATTAGAATCCTGATGTACCGGGAACTGTAGAGCAGGTAAAACAACAATGATGGCATATACAAATTCTGAAAGAAATTGAACCACATATCTTTTGTTCAATCAGTTCAATCATTTAAAACAATCAAGATAAAGTCTGAAAGGGAAATGCTGCCAAAAATTTGCGACATCTTGTTTTTAAAATTCGACATAAAGAGACTGTTAACTTTAAACAGAGTTGGATATTCACTAGAAATAGGACAACATTCCCTTTAATGCATATTTTATTTTTATTTGAATATTATATATATAGATATAATTACTTCTATCATAATTCAAACTGTAATTTAAAACGTATACAATTTAAAACGCTTAGATTCAAGATAAATGATATTTAAAGGGATAAAAAGATAGAAAAATGTTCTTTTAGATTGATGAGCCAGAGCCACAAGAAAATTATGATGAAGGTAACAGAAATATTTTTTTTTATCATTAATTTATTTGATTAAAATGGAGATTTTAAATTGATATTCTTATTTTCTGGCGACGAACAATGCACATGAAAAGTTTGTTTACAATGAAACGTCATTTGTATAGAGTGTACAGTGTACGAACATAGTTAATCAATTTTCCGAAAAATAAAGGTATAATTATCAAAGAGAATAGAATATATAGAGAGGAATTTACTAAAAAAAAAGTGTAAAACGGTCATTTTGTTGTACTGTTTCCATACTGCAGGTGTACTTCACATATTTGCGCTTTATAACCTTTTGGGCCCTGGAACATCATTTTATAGAAAATCTAAAATTAATATTAAAGGAAAACCAAATTATGAAATATGCTGCTTTCATAATTGACCAATGATCATTTCACATAGACTCTATGCCTATCAAATGATGTTTTTTATTCACCTAATTGACAGCTTTAAAAAATTCGAAATTGAAATGGATAGTCTAGGGAACATACTGTATTAATTCCACTCTAATATATATTCTATTCTCTTTGATTATTATTGATCTGATTGCAAGCATTGAAGGCTACCGTAGTGAATCGGACATATGGTATCTGGAAGTGGATGCAGTCACTGGAAATAAAAAAATCAAGGTCTGTAAGGATACATTTGTAGATAAAAAAATTGTTTTTAGGTCCTGGAGTTGAAGATTATGGCGGGGAAGATTACGGCGGAGACGATTATGGTGGTGGAGACGGTTATGGTGGCGATGATTATGGAGGAGATGATTACGGTGGAGACGATTATGGCGGCGATGATTACGGCGGAGACGATTATGGTGGCGATGATATGGGAGATTTTGGAGATTAAATAAAGAAAAAATATTTTTCCAACAAAAATTTTTATGAACACAAATTTTCAATAATATATATTTTACACATCTTTGTTGTTTTATTTACTGTCAGGTTTATTATTTACTGTCAGGTTTATTATTTACTGTCAGGTTTATTATTTACTGTCAGGTTTATTATTTACTGTCAGGTTTATTAATAGAGAATGAACCTTTAATGACGAATTTACATTTTTTGTGAAATTCACGGGTTTCTTTTATCTAAATAAGTTGTTGTGACAAGTTTTAAGATTTCTAAAAGTATATTTTCCATTTTGTTTTGCCGACAGGGGTAGTGTTTCAACGTACTTAGCTAGGACGGACCAAGGGTGTAATGAAAGGAAAGTTAATTGCGGTCGTGTATACTCTGCTTACATATTGAAACCAGTTCTCTTTGGGCGGATTTTGTAAACAAGAACAGATATGGATCAGTGTTCGTTTAATATCCGAGGAGGTTAAAAGCATTAAATATTGATAATTTTGAAAATTCACATAATAGTTTCCTATATTTCATTGATTTTTTTATGTAAAAGATGGATCTAATGTCAGGCTTCGACATCCGTCTTGTGTTTACATTACCGACCAGAGACAGTACACTGCAGTACAAAAGATGTGTACACTTCTGAAATAACTTTCCTTTCATTACATCTTTGGGACGGACACATTCAGAGCCGTCATATGTTAATAAAAAGTATGGATGAAACCATCTGGGCAAACAGACTTTCATTATTGATGCCAGTTTAAATATAAGTAAAATTTCTGATTTTTAAGTTCATTTTTAGACTTTTAAAGTTAAAAATGTCAATTAAATAACTCCTAAAGTTTTTATGTTAAGCAAGCAAATTTTGAAAATTTCCAGAATTCTGAATGATTATAGGATACAGCTGGAGTGTCCCATTAATTGTTATGAAACGAATTTTGATTAAGAAAAGTGATCCCTACCGATAGAGCTGTATTCCGCAGGATTTCTTCTGTCAGAGTTAAGAATTAGTTTGTTTATCAAAAACTGCGAAAAACTGCAAAATTTTGCGAAAATTTTACGTCGCATAATTTTATGTGACATTTCGCATTTTTTCGCGAAAATAAATTTTGCAAAAGGAAGCCAAAAACGATGCGGAAATTTTTTCTTATTCGAACGGAGTGTGAAAAGTGCTAATTTTTTATCCGCGAAATTTTGCGAAACAAATGTTCGCGAATAATGCGAAATTTTCGAGAAACCCTAATTACAAAAAAATAGACTGGTCGTCTTTACTCTTAATGATGTAGAGACATTACAGACGCATGTTACAGCTTTCACCGTTTTCAAAAAATGAATTCTAGCAGACATAATTATATATTTACTAGCTTGGGAACTCAGCGCTGCTAAGCTTCTAAAAGTTACTCCGCCGTTTACCCGAACTTTAACCATTTCACCCGGAAAATAAACTTTCGCTATTTTTGTCGACCCACTGAACATTAAATCTCAAAACCCGTGGGTCTCCCCAGTTTCCAAATCAAAATTTGATGCAAATCGGTCCAGGGGTTCCTAAGTTATGATCGGACAAACAAACAAACAAATAGATAAACAGAGATTGCAACTTTATATGTCAGTTAGTTCCCATGTATTTAGACACCCTCTAGATTACAATTCCCATGTATTTAGACACCCTCTAGATTACAATTCCCATGTATTTAGACACCCTCTAGATTACAATTGAAATTATACATGGAGTCTCTTTAATGGTAATATTACTTCATGAACGAGCCAAAGGTATTAAAATGGAAATTTCTTTTTAATTTCAGAAGAACTGAAATAATTAATAATAATATTTATAATAAAATGAGAAATATTTAAGTAATTTGACAGGTTGTGAAGATTCATAAAGTTTAATTTCAATTACACATGAGGTTTTTATATTGGACAGGGTTACCTTGAAAGACGACTGCACGAATTTTTGATAATGAATTAGTTTTCCTGAGCTAAATCATTTAGTATAACAGTAAACCTTTTAACCTTTTAACCATATACACTTGATTTAGCGAATTAAATATGCAAAAATATTGGCAAAGTTTTTAACAACTAAATGTATATTCAAGAAAAACTAAAATTGTGCAAATTTCCCTTAAAGGCGTCTGTGTAAAAAATTGCACAAAATTTCTTTGGAGAAAGTGGGCAATCTGCTTCCTTTTGTTATAGTGTTATGTTTTAAATATGAAAGGAACTGCCCAAAGGGGGATTTCAATATTGCAGTAGTCATCAATCCATGCACCAATAAAAGAACAAAGTAATTGAACATTTATATTGAAAGTAAAACAAATAAAAGAAATAAATCCATGTAGATTATACTGCTATCACAGTTTTCTAGGATCCACAGGTTGGATTTCCTTGAATATTCTTCATCTAGAGCCACAGGTTGGATTTCCTTGAATATTCTTCATCTAGAGCTACAGGTTGGATTTCCTGGAATATTCTTCATCCAGATCCACAGGTTGGATTGCCTGGAATATTCTTCATCCAGATCCACAGGTTGGATTTCCTGGAATTCTTCATCCAGAGCCACAGGTTAGATTGCATGGAATATTTTTAATCCAGATCCACAGGTTATATTTCCTGGAATATTCTTCATCCAGATCCACAGGTTAGATTGCCTGGAATATTCTTCATCTAGATCCACAGGTTGGATTTCCTGGAATATTCTTTATCCAGATCCACAGGTTAGATTGCCTGGAATATTCTTCATCCACAGCCACAGGTTGGATTGCCTGGAATATTCTTCATCCACAGCCACAGGTTGGATTGCCTGGAATATTCTTTATCCAGATCCACAGGTTGGATTTCCTGAAATATTCTTCATCCAGATCCACAGGTTAGATTTCCTGGAATATTCTTCATCTAGATCCACAGGTTGGATTTCCTGGAATATTCTTCATCCAGGAATATTCTGCCCCCCTTGCCCTCCCCCTGTATACGCCCTTGCGGAAAAATGTTTAAAATAATTATTTTTAATTTTGAAAAATATTAACATATGACACATGTTATTACATTTTTCAAGGGCTTTTGAAAAGTACACATTTTTATCCTGTAGCTTAATTAATAAAAATATGCATTAAAAAATTGCCAAAGTTTTTTCACAACCATGTTGTTCAAAAAGTGAAGAAATTTTGAGTTCCCAAGCAAGACGTTTTTAAGTTATTTAGAAAAAACCACAGAATGGGGGTGAAAAACACCCCCCCCCCCAGCTGTGATAGGGTTAAAGATTTTCAGGATGTCATTAAAGTCTTCTCCGTGGTGCGTAACCCTGAATATTCAAGATTGAACACTAAACACTAACAGATGTGAAAATAGAAATGCAGAAAATCACTGATAAACAATTTATTTTATCAGTTTTTATAAATACGTTTTAAATAAAATATATTTAAAGAAATTATTTTTTCCTTCCCGAGATTGTTTGCTCGTTACCGTATCTTTTAAATAACATGAAAATGTGTGACACATTTACCCTGGGGGGGGGGGGGGCGGCCTCACCAGACACTCAGTCAGAAATCCAACAATCTTCTATACAAAAAAAAAACTATTTTTATTGAACAAAAATTGGACAAAAATTTCACCAAAATGGAAGAAATTTTCGCGAAAATGAGGTCGAAAATTTCACTAAAAGTATATAGAAATTCGCGAAAGTTTTGAAATAAAATGAACGAAGTTTGTTCATTCACTTTTTCGAATTTTGTTGGAGACCATAGTGCCCCCCCCCTGGGCTTCCCCCCCCCACTAAACTTACCCACTTCCGTACTTTGCAATAGGACAGGAATTTTTAAAGGGCTCAAAGAAGGGTATCTTGATCATTCTTCAATTGTGAAATTAAAACTTAGTGAGCAGCATCCAAAGAAAAGATGGGCAGCATCATTTGTTGCTATGTTTGAATTATGATTAAATTCTCTTATTTGTATTTAGATTTGAACTTAATTAATAATATTAAATACAAATAATAGAAATAAGCCTTTAATTGAAAAGGGAGAAATAAGTTACAAAATAATTAATTAAAATTAGATATTTGATCTCGATCATGCGGAAACTAGAAATCGTGAGTACATAATCTGTTACGGATTCTTTTTATAAAGTAATATTCTGTATTTTTGCTTTCATGTTTTAAATTAATTAATTGGAATCTGGAAGAATTGCTAGGTAGCTGGGTCAGTTAGAGGAATAATGCGACTTCAACTAGTCGTATTCCTACAGTTCTTTCTCCTTTTACAGGCATTTCCAGTGAACTAAATCAACACTTTTCAAAAATGAAACTTTATAGTTTTTGAAAGTCCTTGTTTGACTTATTTATTTAATTATTTAAAGGAACTCCTTAGCATCCCTCTTGTTAAGGGATTAATATATCGGTCATGTTGGTTAAAGAGCTGTAAAATTGTTGTTGATTTTGTATTTTCCAATTTGTCATTAATTAAAAGACTCAATAAAAGTTTTTAAGAATCTGAGTTTGCGTTTCAGTTTAGATCTTTTTACTTTCACTATATTTAAAAAAAAGTCTCTAGATATTTTTTTTTCACTTTAAACTTGTTACAAAAGGAGATGGACTGTGCTCCGAAAAAAAAGACATTTCTTGTGGAAACAGTGGACAACAAAACAGGAAAAAAGAAAAGTAAATATTTAATTTCATTTACATTTAGGACGTTTAGATTTAATAGAAAGTTGGAAAGAAAGAAAATATTTAGATTGATTAAGATATGGCTAAATAATTTTTAAAATGGAAATCTCAGTTTTAGAAAAAAAACTTTATTCCATAATATTACAAATCAAATAACAAAAACTATTGTTTAGTGAATTCAGTAACTGTTAATGTAACTTCTGCTCCCACGAAAGGTCTGAAAAAAATAAGTTTTCTAAATTTAGCTAAAAATTTTAAATTAGGATTATTTTCAGGAAAAGGAAAAGGATTAGCTAAAGCTGCTGCGACCCCCACAGTTGCAGGTGTTAATTATGAATTTCTAAAACAAAACTTAAAAAAAATTTACAAATAATCATAGCAGTACCAGCAGCACCAAAAGGAAAAGTAGCCACCGCAGCAAAAGCAGCTAAAAAGAAAGCTGGAAAAGCAGCTCAAAAAGGAAAAGTAGCTGGAAAAGCAGCTCCAAAGGGAAAAGTAGCTGCTCCTGCTGCTTCAGCTGTTCCTGCTCCATCAGGTACTAAGTATGAGAAATCAGAAATATTATTGAATTTCTGGCGTATGGAAGTTCACACTATTGACAGCCCAGTTTTTAACCCACCAAGAGGCCATTATTGGCTTTGCACTAGAAAGCCAAGAGCTCCTTAAATAAAGTGACAAAAATTGTACAAAATATTTTTTTTCATCAGCATTTTTTCTTTTTATGACAATTAGTAAAATTACCATATTTTTCTTCCATTAATGAAATTTGATGTTAATTTTCAAAAATCAATGTCAAATAAAAGAAATTGAAATAATTCTGAAATGTCTTTCATCAAAAATGCATTTAGTTACGAGTTGGTTAATTTAGGTATGTTGTTTATTTTAAAATATGATAAAAGTTCTTCAACCCTCCACTCTAAATTTATCCATAAATCTTGTGTATATATTTAACTAAAACCATGTGTAGACTAATTTCATGATTAATTCAAGTGTCAGATTTCTGTGTAGATTCACATTTCTAAAATTTACATTAAATAATGCTAATGCGCCATGGGGTTTAAATTAGAATTATACATATGACTTAACGTCTTTATTTTTACATCTATCGCACACTCACTCAATACATGTACATTTAAATGGGAGCTTAACTTTTACGGTCCTAGTTTTGTACTGTCCTGCCCAGTACACCAACTACACTGAAAACAAACAGCGGGGTCAATATAGTTGGCCTAGCTCAGTAGACAGGGCTAGAAGGTGGAACAAGGTTGATGCGGTCTAACAATTAGGGCTGCATGCAGCTGGTTATATCTACTAAAGAAGCAATTTTGCGTGATTGTACTTTGCTAATTATTCTGCTTGTCTTGAGCCCATGTACCAAAAATAATTAAAGATTCACTTAGAACTCCAGTCAGGGCTGGACAATTTCCTTCTTATGAATTAAACATTTAATATTAGTTTGAAATATTAAAGGTCTGAATCATCAGGTTGCAAATTTATAAAGGCTATACAAACAGGGAATGTTTCTTTTCAAATCGTTAACCGACTAATTAGGTTTAGTACTGATTGTGTTCATTAACAGAATATATCATCCGTTCATTTAAAAAGTACCCTTCCTTGTACTGAACTCAGTCCTACCTAAAAAGTTACCAAATTAAAGTCACTGGTTATTATGACAATTCAATAAATATCATTCTATTGTTTAGGAACAGCCCCTGAATCTGCTGCAGGATCAGATTACTCAGGTGAAGTATTTCTGAAAATTCTATTAAAACTATTAAATCTTTATCAATGTTCTCTTTTTGTTTTTTAGCACATTTGTTTGGGTACTTCACATGACCCTATAAAAGGTTAAAGAAAATTAAAAAAAGCTGCTAAAGAAAACAAAAAAATCTGGAAAAAGTTTTTATTTCCATAATGAATGAATTAAAAATGGTGGTAGAGAAGGAAAAATCCATTCATCATTCATTCACCATTTTAGAAAACAGCAAGTTTTATATTATGATAGCGATAAAGTATGTATAAACCATTGTTTCATGCAACACCAGCACAAAAACACCCTAAATTGTTTTTATTAGGTCCTTTTAGTTTGCTTTAAGGGACTGTAAGCATAGTTTTTAATAACCCTCAATGGAAAGATGGACATGCCTAATTCAAAACAGTACCCTTAACAGCTTTGTCTGATCAAGTATGAAATACAAATCAATTGTGGGTTTGCTGCAAATCTGATTTGCATGTTTCTACCCAACAAAACTTGCAGAAATTATCATCAGAAATCAACAACTTTAAAACTAAGAAAACAGCAATATTTTCCTCATTATTGTTCAGATGAAGGTTGCAGGGGTAAATCAGGCATTACCATCTGTGCATGGAGGGTCATTTGAAATTACGATTATGCCTGTTGTACGTTGTTGTAACACTAATAATTTTCCAGGCATGATGGACATGGGTGGAGGTATGTGGAGTGAAGGAGGTATGTCTGGAAATACCTGGAATCAAGGAAGCATGTCAGGAAGTATGTCAGGAAGTAGCTGGAATGGACTACAAACATCTGGAAATAGCTGGAAACATCAAGATAGTATGTTAGGAAGCATGTCAGGACGTATGGGAAGTGGCTATACCAGTGGAATGTCTGGATCTGGATGGTCTAGTTCTAGTTCTGGAAACCCTAACAGTAATATTTAATTGTTTTCAGCATTTAGATGAAGCATTGGCATTAATTCCTTAAGACTTGATCATACATTGCAATTCTTCGGTTTCCCTTTATTCCCTTACCATTATAAGACATTTGGACAGGGAAGACAAAGAATTAATATTTGTAAATGAAATGATAATGCTCACTCATGTTTTTTTCTTGAAATAGTTAAGCATTAAAAGTAAAACTTTTCCAATTTTTAATATTTTTTTTGGCATTTTTTAGTCAGACTTGACTTCAAAACTACAAGCTGGATATCCAAAGTTAATCAGGGAGATAAAATAACACTGACCCTGGACAACAATGAATTCATAATAACCGGAGATGGTTCAACTGCAGAAATCAATGGATATTCGGTCACTATAAACCAATGGCAGAAGGTTGTCGATGGTGGATCGATAACCTTGACTTCTGGTAGTAACACAGTTAAAGTCACAAACAATGGGGGAAATATTATGTTTGATGGAAAATCTTTAACTAAATATACAACCATGTCAATGTCCAAGAGTTCCATGAGTGGTGGTTACAAGCCATCATCATCCTCCGAAGATTATGTGAAGCTAACTTCTGGTAAGTGTCAAATCTCATTTCCAAATCATCATTATGGCAGAGGTGCAGTGGGGGAAGAGATGGTCTGAGTCATTTCAATTTTTCCGTTTTACTGATAAATTCATGCTCCCATTTAATTTTTCCTACTATTATAAATCAATAAGTGAAGTTCTTAGTGAATCTTTTTTAAACATTTGTCCTGTTTAGAATATGATTTTACTACAACTTCCTGGTTCAAGCAAATTCCTGACTACATGAAACTTACAAGAAACTTAGATGGTAATGAATTTGTCATTACGTCTGATGGAAAATCATCAGGAACAATAAATGGATTCCCAGTCACAAAAACTGAATGGCAAAAAGCACTTGATGATGGTTCAGTGACATTAACCTCTGGTAGTAGCAAGATAACTGTTACGGTTGTGAAGAAAATTGTTAAGATTGATGGAAAATCTATTACACACTATCAAAGCAGTGCTTCAGAGGGTACTTCATCAAGTAGACCCAACACCTCAGGAAGACAACCTAGTGGCCAGCAATCCTCCAAAGTCCCAGATGATCTAGACTTTACAACAACTAAATGGATGACTGATTTTAAAATAGAAAAAACCATCACAATTACAGTAGATGAAAACACATTTGTTATTACTTATGATGGAACAGTATTTTACATTAATGGCTACCCTGTCACCAAAGATGAATGGAACCAAGTTATAAATGGAAAAACAATAACATTGACAAATAAAAACAGGGATACAGTAAATGTGGTTATGAAGGGTGATGTTATTATGTTTGACGGAAAACCTATGACAGGGGGAACAAAAACACAATTCCAAGTCTCTTATGGACCTTCAGGAACCACTGGATCAGAAGTCCCTGTGACAGGTAAATTAAACTAACATAATTCATGTTCTTTTTTCTGCAACACTATTTTGCTTTAGACGTCATTGATTTTTCAACCAGTAACTGGCTAAATACATTTACAAAAATTCAAACAATGAAACGAACTGTGGATGGGTACACATTCACTATTGTTTATGATGGAAATGGAGTAACTATAAATGGGTTCCCCGTCACAGAGGATGACTGGAATACAGTCATAAAGGGTACACCTGTTACCTTGACTTCACCAAATGGAGATACAGGAAAGCTTACATATGAGAAACCTAAAGTTAAGCTTGATGGTCACCCATTTGTTGGACAATCTGTCAGTGTTGAAACTGAATTTCCATCAGAGCCTATCACAAGTACTAATCCCAATGGAAACAATCCCAATGGAAACAACCCTAACGGAAACAATCCCAATGGAAACAACCCCAATGGAAACAATCCCAATGGAAACAACCCCAATGGAAACAATCCCAATGGAAACAACCCCAATGGAAACAATCCCAATGGAAACAAACCAAATGGAAACAATCCTGAAGGAAATAATCCTGATGATGAATATCCTAACAGAGACAATCCAAGCAAAAACAATCCGTATCCCAAAAATCCAAGAGGACCAGGACCAGGTAAGAATTCATACCATAATAAATGCATGAAAATGAGGAATTGTAACTATCTTTGAATTTGATCAGGCACTGGTAATCCTAAGTATCCTACAAGTGGTAAGTTGGAATTTAAAAAAACTTTTTAATATCAATATTATAATATTAATGTTATTTGTAATGTCTAGGAGATTTAGATTTCTTTACAACAACATGGATAACTGAAACAACTACAACAGAGCAAACAATAACCAGAATTGTGGATAACTACAAATTTACAATAATCTATGATGGAAAAACTCTGACTATCAATAATTTCCCTGTGACTGAGAAAGAATGGCAGAAGATTCCAGATGATGGTGAAGTAACTTTAAATGATGGCCCAAAAACTGTAACAGTCACTTCAGATGAAACTAATGTTTACTTTGGCAAAAATCCATTGTATGGAACATCCACATCTGTGAGTATAAGATATGGGCCAACAAGCAAAACCCCAACCAGTACTAAACCTGACCCTAGAGGTACTTCTACCTAATTTTCATATTATTTTTGGTAATTGCTAAAAACCAATTGTTTTCAGAAGTACCTAATTTTGAGACACCTGAATGGATAAACTTGTACAAGGAACCAGAAGAAGTCATTAGAACTGTGGGTCCTAATACATTTATATAGAACCAAAGAATGAAAAAGTTTACATTAATGGATTCCTCATTCCAACAAAAGAGTGGCAGAGAGTCATTGATGGAGAAGAAGTTGAGGTAACAGATGATGATGGCAAGACAGTAACTATTGTCAAAAGAAATGATGAAATATTTTTCAATGAAAAACCCTTCACTAGTGAAACACAACCCATTACTACTACAATTATTGAAAATGAAAACCCTGAGGAGCCACGTGGAAGTGGAACACCAAGAAGTCCGTTTGGTACTGAACCTGGTCCTGATGGTGAAGGACCAGAAGATCCTAGAAACTCCAGAAAGAACCCCAATGGAAACAATCCTAATGGAAACGACCCTTATGGTGAAGAACCAGTAGATCCTAGAAACCCAGATAATACTGATGGATATCCTGGTACTGACAGTGAAGAACCAGGATCTCCTGGAAACCCCAGAAAGTATAACCCAGAGGATCCTGAAGGAAGTGAAACTCCTAATAGAGAACCTGGATCTCCTGGAAAACCAAATAATCCCTGGGAAGAAGAACCTGGAAAACCCAATAGGCCCAAAACACCAGGTTAGTTAAAAAAGAAAATTACAAATTGTAAAAACATGCTTCACCCTGTTTATTTGGTTTCATGACTGGATCCCTGGGGGGGGGGGGGGTCAAATTGACCCCCCTCTATCTTCTTATTATGATAGGAATCTTTAACATTTGATGAGTTTTTGGAAAGCCCTTGGTCTCTATTTCAATAATCTGCAAAAACTGGAAAAATTGCAAAAAGCCTAATATTTATTGCAAAATTTAGTGATGAAGCAAAAAATTGCGCAAATTGCAACATTTTATACATCTTTTAAAAGCTCTTGACCCAGCAAATTTAATTGGGCCAAAACATTTGCAAAATTTTTAAAACATTTCTGTGTTTTAATGAAAAAATGAAATTATGCGTATTCCCTTTATAGGCATCTGCACAAAAATATGTGCAAAATTTCTTCGCATAAAAATTTGCAATCTGGTTGCTTTTGTCATAGGCTTTCAAAAGAGCTATACAATATTGAAATCCAATGACTGGAAGTAGGTCTAAATATAAATTTAGTCTTGTATTGGTAAAATAAGGCATTTAGGCACTATGCTTGAGGACTCAGGCAGCAGGTATATAAGCCCAGCTTTAAGCCTTAAGTGATGGCCCTGTGTAGTTAGAAAAGTCTGAAAAATTATGCTTTCTAGCTTAAATACTTTTATAATTGTTTCAAGAATCATACATGTTAAAGTAGATAGAAGACTAAATGTCACAAATAAATTCAAATATCAAAGACGACTTTCAAGTCGTCTTGCTATTGTCATGTTTCGTGGGACACCCTGTATAAGATCTATCTTTAAATTTGATCAGGCACTGGTAGTTCTAAGTATCCTGCAAGTGGTAAGTTGAAATTAAAAATAGATTTTTAATTTGTTTTAATAACATTTTTTTTAAATTTTGATTTTAACAAATTTTTTAAAAGAGCCATGAATTTATTCTTTGGCTGTTCTATCTTCTTTTTAGCTGATCATACATCTGTTTTCTGTTCCTCTCTTATAGATCTAGGCATTCTAACTCCTTGTAGACAAAGGAAATATGAATTTTGACACATATTTCTGCTTTGCTTCTTCCTAATATTTTGCATACTTCCCAGAGCTGCAGCTCTCTTTTTGGCAATCTTCTTTTTCATACTTTTCTTTAATTGGATATCTTGGTGCTAGAAATATCAAATTAAGTATAATAGAAAGTTACTGTCTGTGATCCATGCAGAGATGTCAAATTTCTCTAATGAAGTATGTTGTGGAATGTTTGGTAATTGCTGATGCAGCTCTTTGCTCCAAATCGTTCATATTTATTATATATATTCTTGCAGGTTGGAAAAATAAAAGTCATTGCTAAGCTAGGTTTGAAAATTCTGTGGATCCATTGTTAGAATTCTGCATTAGCAATGACTAATGGGATAAGAAAGGTTTGGTAAGAAGTGAATATTTTTGAAAATAGAATTCTTGTTCTTGTAAGTTCATCTCAGACAGTGCTTAAGAATAGGGCTTGGTCTACAGCAATCTTTTACTTGTAGCCGGCAGAGTATAAACTGCTTTTTATAGCGTATGTGCACAACCTTCTACTTTCTATGTTACCATTTTCCTTGTTTCTGGCAAAATGGAGGGGATGAGAAGCATAGAGAAAGCCCTCCAGCTCTGCAATATTATTTTCTTTTTTTCCAAGTTGTATAAGAACCTGACTGTTCTATGCTCACTTGATGCTTATGGAACCAGATTCAATAAAAAGAATACCCTCTTTCCGACAAGTTCTGATAATTAATAACAGCTAACCAGGCTTGTTATAAAGGAGTATATTTAAAGCTGCCAGTAGCAAATATGGACCTAGCAATGTAAAAAACTTCCATTCTCCAGGTTAATACAGTGTTAAAAGATTAATACAGGCCTTTAATGTTACTTGTTGTTTTGTTTATTTCTTTTCTATTTGTGAAGGGTTTATATGTGGTCATACAGTGTATATTATTCACCCCTGTCATTTTCTCTTGCTCCCCCTGAAATCTGAGTACTTTTAGAAGTGCCAAGCAAGACCCAGTTGTTGCCTCTTTGAAAGCTAGATGTACACTGAAAAATATTTTTATTTATAAACATAAGTTATTTGTAATGTCCAGGAGACATGGATTTCTTTACAACAACGTGGATAACTGAAGTAACAACAACAGAGCAAACAATAACCAGAATTGTGGATAACTACAAATTTACAATAATCTATGATGGAAAAACTGTTACTATCAACAATTTCCCTGTGACTAAGAAAGAATGGCAGAAGATTCCAGATGATGGTGAAGTAACTTTAAATGATGGCCCAAAAACTGTAACAGTCACTTCAGAT